CTCCTGCCCATGGAATCCTGTCCGCTTAATGCAAACCTCAGAGCCTGCCCGCTTAGAATCCTATCCAATCATAGTGTCTCACTGCCTGTCCATTAAATACCGTGACACCCAACGCTCCCACTCCTCATCCCTTGACACCCTAACTACTCTCCTTTGTTAAAGTAAGAGCAAATTACTATGCCAGACCTGCTGAATTTCTCCAACACTTTTTTTTTTCCTTTGTTGAAGATTTTCCGAGACCAATTGTCATTCTTCAAAAGATTTAACAAAACTTTTAGTTCCAGTGGTTCTCAGATTCCTAAAGGGGAAGTGTAATGATTGTAACAAGGTCAGCCAGGTGGACCTCATAGAATATGAGTTCTCTGATTGGGTCTGTTAATCTGGTCCAATCAGGGAGCCCTGGCTGACAGTTAAGAACAGGAGTGTAAGACATACTGTTCACTCTGAGAGCTGGCTGTGAGGAACCTGGATCAGTGTCAAGGACTCTCTGTGTAAATAAAGGGTGACTTTATGATAGGATACCGACCTCTGTGGAGTTATTTCAGTAATCTTGACCAATAAAGTTATCCTCAGGATTCCCTGTGAGTGCTGAGAAATGTTCCTTCTCTATCTGTTTTACACTCTATTTCTGAATCTACTTTTGTTTGAGAAAGAAGGGAAGAGAGGTGCAATCTCAAGATACAGTTTATGGCTACATTATTTTCTATACTTAAATGTTGCAATGTCCTCTGTAAGTAACATTTCGCCTCTTACATAATCAATGATTTGTAGCAGTTATTCCCTAAGAAAGGACACGTAAACTCAGTAGAGAGTAGATACAATTAAGCATGGATAATAAACATGAAATAACTAGCAAAGGAGAAGAGAATGGAAAATGGGAACAGAAATTGCTGGAAAAGCTCAGCAGGTCTGACAGCAGCTGTGGAAAGAAAGCAGAGTTAATGTTTCAGGTCCAGCGACCCTTCCTTAGAACTGATGGTAGCTGGGAAAATGTGTTTTTATGCAGAAGATAGGGTGCACGGAGGGGTTAAGGAGTAAACAATAGGTGGAGATAGAGCCCAAAGAGAGAGAGAGAACAGTTGGACAGACAAATGAGTGGATAATGGTCAGCCTGGGAGAATGAATAGCTATTAATGGCTAACAATGGATTCTGTGTAATAGCAGACCATGTGATAACTAGGCCTGGTGTGTGGGAGTTGGGGTGAGTACATGGGAGAAGCTCAAGCCCTAAAGTTCTTTCAACAAAAAAGTGGTGGTGGGAGCTGGAGCAGGTGGTGGGTTGTCTGCTGTGTGATACTGGTACAGCTGCTAACCAGAAATCCTATTAATGCCTCTCTGAAACTCATCTACAGTGAAAGTACTAGTTAGGCACCAAGCTGGATCAGGGACAAAGCAGAAAAAAAATGCTATTGCTGTGAACAGTATTAGTTAGATCCCAATAAAAACAGATGATGCTGCAAAGGCAGACTGAGTCACACAACATCGCTGGACAGAGAAACAGCATTAATGGTTAATGAAAGGTCACTGACTCAAAATTTTTAAAGTCTGCCTCTTTTGCTGCAGATGCACACTGATCTGCTGAGTGTTTACCAGTGTTTCTGCTTTTATTTCAGATTTCCATATGAACATATGAATTAGGAGAAGGAGTAGGCCATTCAGCCCCTTGAACCTGGCTCTGCCATTCAACAAGATTACGGTTGCTTGGAATGTAACCTTAAATCCACATTCACACCTATCCCTGATGACCACCTACCCCTTGCTTAATCTATCATAAAAATATTCAAGGACTTTTATCACTTTTTCAGAAAGAGTTACAAGGATACACGATCCTTTGAGAGAAGATAAAGTTGCTTCATTTCTGTTTTAAACAGGTGACCCTGCATCCATAGTATCCAACATCCATGGTATTTTGCTTTTATTTGAAACAAACACAGAGAATGCTAGAGAAATTCAGCAGGTCTGGCAGCAAATCTGTGGAGAGAGCAACAGAGTCAATACCCTGTCCTGAATCTGGAACATTCTGAGGAAGAGTCACATCAAACTCAAACTGTTAACTCTGTTTCTCTCTCCACAGATGCTGTCAGACCTGCTGAATTTGTCCAATGTGCTGTGTTTGTTTCAGATTTCCAGCAGCTGCAGTATTTTATCTTTATTTTTGCTTTTATTTAATTTGGTTAAATGAGTGCATTGTTATTCCTCAATCATACGACTATTTTACATTGAGAAACTCAACAATTTTTTTTGATACCTAAAGTTAACATTTGTAGCTTACTTGAATAATTTTTTATGAAGGTTATTAAGGGAGATGATCTGGTAACAGTGACAAGATGTGCAATTTTCAATTGGTTCATAAAGACATAATCAAAAAAAATGTGTGGTGAATGATTCTAATAACAGAGTCACATGTTCAAAAGTCTAAATTTAAAAATAAATCATGGCAAATCCCGCAGTTCTGAAATAAAAAAAAGGGAGCTGTGGACTTGTATGTCAGGCCCATTACAGAAACATAAAAAATTTGTGGCACAGAAAGAGGCCATTTGGTTCATTGTGGGAAAACAATCCAGCCTAATCCCATTTTCCAGTTATTGCCTTGTTATCCCTTTAGGGCACTTAAAATGCGCATCAAAGTATTTTTCTAAATGGAGGATATTTGCCTCTATTTCCCTTTCAGCAAATGAATTCCAGATCTCCACCATCCTCTGGCTGAAAACTTCTTCGACACCCTTTCTAATCCTACCAATTATCTTTAACGCTATGCTCTCTGGGTTATTAACCTCTTTGCTCATGGAAATATATCATGGAAATATTCCGACTTGGCTCCTCATAATTTTATACAATTAAAGCTCCCCTGTCTGATAAATATTTGGCTGCATTTGTGATGAGGTAGATCTCACTGAAGAGCTGGTGTCTGCAAACAGAGTAGACCCATGAGTATCAGTTAGGACAGTGCACAGGTTTGTAGTTTGTAAATTCCGGTGAACGAGATACATTAGTGTTTACAGAGCTAGCAGAATTCTTGTGTATTAGTCCAGCTGGAAGATTTCCATCAGAAGGTAACAGTTTTGTAGATTGAGTTACTATGGAGGGTCAGTGAATCTGGCTGCAGACTGGGAGTTAAGTGGCAAATAGATGTGTTTCTAAAAAGGTACATGGGACATTGCTAAATTGGATACACTTAAGTTCATCTGCTCAAATGATATGGACCTATTTGGGTCAAACAGCCATTTTCCCACTCCTACAAATATTTGACCATGGTTACCTCGGTAATGAACTCACCGATGAGCTATAAGCTGTGAGTTTAAATTTAATTCCAATGACTTGTTCTGCAAACTAAAACTGATACTTCAGTACACACTTCTGAAGGAGTGCTAACCAATTGGATAATCTTTCAGATGAGACATTAAACTGAAACTCCAATCATCTTACAGTGGTTCAGTGGTTAGCACTGCTGCCTCACAGTGCCAGGGTTCAATTCCACCCTCGGGTGACTGTCTGTGGAGTTTGCACATTCTCCCTGTGTCTGTGTGGGTTTCCTCCCACAGTCCAAAGATGTGCAGGTTAGGTGGATTAGCCATGGGATGGGCTATGTCTGGATGGGATGCTCTTCAGAGGGCCACTGTGGACTTGATGGGCTGAATGGCCTCCTTCCTCACAGTAGGAATTCAATGATTTTTACAGGTGGGCACAAAGATCTCAGGGCATTCTTTTGAAGTACACCAGTAGAATTTTCTCAGAGCATGTGTTTTTATTTCTCAGAACCTTGGTCAATGTTATTAAGACACATTATTTGATCGTTTTCCCATTTCTGTTTGTAGGAGCTTGCTGCGCGTACATTTGTTTCTACATTTCATACAACAGTGACTACATTTTCAAAAATGTAGTTTAGGACATTCTGAGATTGTGATAGGCACCCTATAAATGCAAGTATTGTTCTGTTCGTTTGTATGCAAACAGTGAACAAGTATCATGTGTCAACTGATATACTGTGCAGTTCACGAAAATTATTTCTTCACAGAATGAAGCCACAGGCCTCTACAGCCACTTAGTTGGGATCCCAAAGGCTCTGTTACCGGGAGTTGGTGGGAAGAAGATTCTGGATTTCTGGTGGGACGTAGTAAATATGTGAGTGTGTTATCATTTTTGTCACTTGTAACAGCTGCATTTTTCTTAGTAGGAGTTATTTAAAATAAATTTTATTTAAATCTCACCTGACGAGGTGGGCTATCTGGGCTAGGACTAGTAATGTAAAAGATTACAAAGCTGGGGATTGTGAGAAGGGAACTGTGACTCTCAGAAAATGGGCAATGTGGAAAGGAGATTTTGTTCAACATGCTCTTCCAGAAGCAATCTTTTCCACAGTGGAGAGGATGGATGAGTAACATGTAGGTCAGTATATTAAGGTTAGCCAGATGTCCTTTAGTGTCAGCTGTGGCTTAGTGGATTTCACTCTTGCCTCTGGATGAGGAGTTTGTGGGTTTGAATCCTGCTCAAGAGAGCTGAACTCAAGTTGTCAGCTGACAAATCTGATAATGCGCAGGAGCTGTCTTGAACTAGCAGAGGTGTTGGCTTTCAAATGATGTGTTAAACCAAGGCCTCGCCCACTGCCTCAGGTGGATGTTAAAAATCACACTGGACTATTTTGACAGAGTATGGGAGTTCAGCCTGGCCAGGGTTAATCCTTCAACTGATATTGCAAACAGAGATTATTATTGGATTTACTTCATTGTTGTTTTTGGAATTTCACTGTCAGCAATTTAGCTGCAGTGCTTCTAACATTATAAACACTTCAGAAAGTAACTAACTTGCTGTCGAACACCAAAACTGTAAAAGGCACTATATGAATGCAAATTCTATCTCCCTTCTAACTTTCTATCCATCTTCCTGTATGAAACTTATTTTGAGTTGCCATACACCATGATGTTTTCTCTGTTCTGTTTGCAGACGCCAGCTCTTCAGTGACGTTTACCTTGTCACAAATGCAGATAAGTGAGTATGTTTGCTGTTGAGAATAGAAGCAACGCAGCAACAGTCAATAACACTGAATAGAAATGCTGCAAATAACGACAGAAAATGTTGGAAATCCCGAGCAGGCTGCATGTGTAGAGAGATGCAGAAATGATGTTTCAATTCAGCTGTCCTTGCTTATTTAGTGGTGAACAGTTTATAAGCAAATATAGTAAGCTGGGACAAAGAGGGTAAGAAATGAATAGTGATGTGGAACATGGGACGAACAATCCTTTTGGCTGTGGAGAGATGGTTACATCCATGAGCTGCATCTGAACCCTTCCACAACTTCAGACTCCAGTGAAAGAGTGTAAAGGTATGAAAACAACAAAAAACAGAAAATGCTGGAGAAACTGAGCAGGTCCAGTAGCATCTATGGAGAGAGAAACATATTTCGCTGTTTCCCTCTCTACAACTGCACCCAGATCTGTTGAGATTTTCCAGCGTTCTCTGTGATTGTTTCAGATTTCCAGCGTCTACAGTATTTTGCCTTTATGAAAACTAGAAATAGAATGAGAGAGAGACGTGGAGGTAAAAGATCTCATGCATGACTTAGAGGGGCAGGGAAATTGTCTGCGTCTGCAGGGTAAAATTTTACCCAATCAGCATCACAAAAATGAAGCTGCCTGGTCATTATCAGATTGCAGATTGTGGGAGCTGGCTGCGCACAGATCGTCTGCCACATTTCCTACACTGGAACATTGACTACACTGCAAAAGTACTTCTTGAAGTGCTTTGGGATGTCTTGAAGTCATGAAAGTTGCTATAGGAATTAAGTCTTTAGTTTACTGCAGTGATCTAAAGTAAGCAGGGTTCGTATGGTCTTGTATGGTATGCTGCAGTTCTGTGGAGATACAATGGGCACCAGCAAAGCACTTATGAATTAATTGTTAACTTTCCACGTGCAGGTACAAGTACTATGAGCGATGGGCAACTGCCAATGATTTTCCAGTGGAAAACATTATTAATGATGGATCGACAACCAGTCAAACACAATTGGGTGCAGTGGCTGACTTGGAGCTAGTGATCAGGAGCAAGAGGTTCACTGATGATGTCATGGTGGTATGTTTTGTTTCATTGCTGGTTGTTTGCTGAAGTTTAGGATCTTTGCTCACGCTGTCTCACCACAATCTGTATGTACTTCCAGGTTGCTGGGGATATGCTATGTGAAGATCTGAACTTTGATATAGCTGAAGTTCTCAAATTCTTTACGTTTAAGGTCAGTAAACCCACTGGTTTCTTGTTTCTTCATGATGTTTAATTGACTTAATGTGATTTTAAGTGAAAAGCTATTTGGTTTAGTGTAAATAGCCTTGGGAATAAAGGTTGGAAACTTAGACTATGTAACCTTGCTCATGTGAAATAAATGAAATCACATAATGGCTCAGGTCAGTGTCTGGGGTGATCATACGATAGAATTAGATAGAAATATACAGGCCAAAAACAATTCTGAATAGTGTGAAGGATGTGGATTGAATACAAATTATCTGAGAGTAGTCAAAATTTTACAGCTGCATGATTCAGGCTAGGGAATCAGTATTTTATATACAAAATGATCATTTTTCGCTTATCTGTATTCCATACACACTTGGTCTGATACTGAGATAACAAGGTGTAGAGTTGGATGAACACAGCAGGCCAAGCAGCATCAGAGGAGCAGGAAAGCTGACATTTCGGGTCGAGACTCTTCTTCAGAAATGGTCTACATCGGGGAAACCAAGCGGAGGCTTGGGGACCGCTTTTTGGAACACCTACGCTTGGTTCGCGACAAACGACTGCACCTCCGAGTCGCGAACCATTTCAACTACCCCTCCCACTCCTTGGACGACGTCCATCCTGGGCCTCCTGCAGTGCCACAACAATGCCATCCAAATGTAGCAGGAACAGGACCTCATATTTCGCTTGGGAACCCTGCAGCCCAATGGTCTCAATGTGGACTTCACAAGCTTCAAAATCTCCCCTCCCCTGACCGCATCCCAAAACCAGCCCAGCTCGTCCCCGCCTCTGTAACCTGTCCTTCCTCCCACCTATACCCTCCTCCCACCTCAAGCCCCACCCCCATCTCCTACCTACTAGCCTCATCCCGCCTCCTTGACCTGTCCGTCCTCCCTGGACTGACCTATCCCCTCCCTAACTCCCCACCTACACTCACCTTTACTGGCTCCATCCCCGCCTCTTTGACCTGTCTGTCTCCTCTCCACCTATCTTCTCCTTTATCCATCTTCTAACCACCTCCCCCTCTCTCCCTATTTATTTCAGAATCCCCTTCCCCTCCCCCATTTCTGAAGAAGGGTCTAGACCCGAAACGTCAGCTTTCCTGCTCCTCTGATGCTGCTTGGCCTGCTGTGTTCATCCAGCTCCACACTTTGTTATCTCAGAATCTCCGGCAGCGGCAGTTCCCACTATGTCTGATCTGATACTGACCATTCCCTTCTCAGTCAAGAAACACTTTCTTATCTAAGATATTCATGAAAATTAAATATTTATTGTACTTGGTGGCATTAACATTCAAGATAGAGATGTGGTAAAGCTCTTATTTCATAGATTGGGGGTTTGATTGATTAGTTCCTAATCTTATTCAAGATGAGCGTAAACACAGTTTGACATAAATCCTGACATTGTATGCTATTTGCTCAAGAATGTCACTTTTGATTAACTTAATGTTTTTATATTGTTTGCTTTTTTCATTTTTCCTGGCTCCCAAACCATTTGTCCACTTTTATTAATAGTACCAATAGCATTTACATAGCATCTTAAGGGTTTGTTTCAATGGGGAAAAAGGGTACTATCTACATTGGAAAAAGTTCTTTCAGAGTTGGGTTTGAAAATGTTGACTTGTTTGGAGAGTGAGCAATATATACTTCAGTGAAAGAATCTTATGCAATAAGACCAGGCCCCTCTTTTTTGCCTAAGCAAGGGGAAAGTGTGTTAATGTGGAAAGGGGAGACAGTTAATAGAGATTATTGAGAGATTATTTCCTCCCAGGCCAAAGTCGAACTTGACTGAGACTTGTAACATCCCATAGCCCAGCTGAACTCCACATATTATCATCAGCCTGGAACATTGCATCAGTGGTCCCCGTACTCTCTCACATGTAAAGTGTACAACTACTTACCAAATTATGTTATTTTACTTAACACCAAATTTAAACAGTGAGAAGAAAGAATGTGCATTTATATAGCACCTTTCATGACCACAGAACATCACAAAATGTTTTAGATCCACTTAATAATCTTTGAAATGAAGTCAGATTGCAATGTAGAAACATGACACCTAATTTGCCCACTATAAGCTCCTAGAAGCAGCAATCTGATCATGACCACATCATCTGGTTAATTTGGTGATATTGGTTTGGGGATAAATATTGACCAGGACACTAGCATATCTCGAGCTCTGCTTTGAAATAGCACTGGGTGATCTTTATGTCCACTTAAAAAAGGGGACATGGGGCCTTCGTTTAATGACTCAGCTGGAAGGTATAACTTTTGACAATAAAGCGTGTGATTTTAGGTTTTGTGCTCAGGACTCTGAAGTGGACTTTAACACAAAAAACCATTGGGAGTGCTCCCAACTGAGCCATGACTAGCTCATGTGAAATACAACAGTATGCTGACATTGTTACCATTCTTTAACTGTTGCCTGACAGAAGGGAGAATTGGTAATTTACTATGAAATGGAAGAAGGAGAGAAAACAGAATCTCGGGGAATAGTTGAGGTGTGCCCCTCGACACACAGGTAGGTTTCTGATTGAAAAAGGCCAGTTTTTGAGTTGGTGAGTCTTCGTATATGTTACTGCGACTCGATTAGAATCTTAGGGATTATGCGATCCCGAAGGATGCCATTTGATCCATCATAGCTGTGTCTGCTTTTTGAAACAGCTTTCCTATTTCCTTTCCTAATCGTCCTGTAACTTCTTTAAGTTTCAAATCTTCATCCAATTTCCTTTCGCCTCTGGCTGTTTTAACAATTGCCATAAATCTGTGACCTACAGTTACCACCTGTTCTACCATTGAAAAGATATTGGACGTCATTTCCCACACCTGGAGCAGGTGGTATTTGAACTGGGACCTCTTGGCTCAGAGATAGGGACATGACCACTCCCCACAACAGCCCTCCCCTGCCACTGGAAACATTTTCTCACCGTAATTATGCTATTAAAATCATTCATGGCTAAATAATGATTTTGATCAGTTCTATTAAACCTCCCCTTAACTTTCTCTGCTCTGAGAAGAACAGACCTAGCCTCTCCAGTCTGTCCAACAACAACACGTATTTATATAGCATACTTAAAATAGTAAAACATCCCAGATGCTTTAGGCGTGTTCCCAAGCAGAACTTAATATAAGGAAATGCTAGGGTACACGACCAAATGGTTGATCAAAGAAGTAGTTTTGAGGGGCATCTTAAATGAGAAAAGAAAAATAAATAGCCTTAGTGAGAGGGCTCCCGAGCTTGGTGATTAAACAGCTAAAGGTGTGGTCTTCATTCATGGAGCAGTTAAAATTGAGTGCGTGCCAAAGTGTCAGAAATGGAGCAGTACAGATATCTTGAAGGTTTGGGGATGGACTTTGAATAGAGGGCATGACCTTGGATGAATTTGAAACTAAACATAATATTTTATTATTAGTGCCTTGCTGGACTGGGAGCCAGTAGAGATTTGTGGGCACAAGCATGATAGATAAACTTCACAGGAGCTAGGAGAGTTTTGAATGAGTTCAAGTCATGTGACAGTGTCGTGTAGACCTTCACCATTCTGAATAAATCTCGTTTGCACCCATTCTGTTATGTGGGACCCAGAAATGGACAAAATGCAGGTGAAGAGAAAGAACATAGAATCAGAATATTTCGCTCTTTGTGTAGCTAGAACAAGCATGGGAACAGTGGGTGAATGGCCTCCTTATGGGCTGAGGTTCTCAGAGGCACTAGCATCATGGCCAAAGCAGGTATCGGAAATTGTATGAACCAACGGCATGGTGGTTCAGTGGTTAGCACTGCTGCCTCACAGATCCAAGGACCTGGATTTGATTTCAGCCTCAGGTGACTGTGGAATTTGCATGTTCTTCCCATGTCTGCGTGGGTTTCCTCCGGGTGCTCCAGTTACAGTCCAGGGATATGCAGGATAGGGGGATTAGCCCTGGGAAATGCAGGGTTACAGGGATAAGGTAGGGGGGTGGGTCTGGTTGGGATATTCTTTGGACGGTCTGTGTGGACTTAATGGGTGGAATGGCTTGCTTTCACACTGTAGGGATTCTATACTCTGACCTCAATCTGAGACCTTCTGATTTCAGAATTTGCAGAAGCTTAAAGACCTTAACTCTGTATTATCTGATGAATATAATATTTTCTCTTGCTGGTTAAATTCTACAGTGAGTCGCCAAATGTTTATTGACCCACTAATCTATCCGGGCATGTTGTCTTCCAAGGATCAGAGATACTGAAGACCGTTTTCTTTCAGAATCACCAAGTTTTATGAGAAGCCCTCTGCAGATGTTACAGAATCGAGGCTGGCAAGTGTTGTCTTTTATTGTTTCCAAAGCAAGACACTGCCAACTCTTGGAGAGTATTTGAAGTATCATCCACTGGTGGAGGATCGAAGGCTTGGGAAGTATATGGTGAGAAAATCTTCTGTTTAATCAAGTAAAACTCACCAAAAGTTGTCAGTTTGTTCTAATGTGGAGGTGCCAGTGTTGGACTGGGATAGACAAAGTCAGAAATCACACGACACCAGGTTATAGTCCAATAGGTTAATTTGAAATCACAAGCTTTTGGAATGCTGTTCCTTCGTCAGGTGATATACAGGGAAGCACACAGACACACGTGTGCCTGTGCACGTCCCTCCACTTCACCTGTTGAAGGAGCAGCGCTCCAAAGCTTGTGATTTCAAATTAACCTGTTGGACAATAGCCTGGTGTCATGTGATTTCTGAGTTTGCTATAACTACAAATAAATGGAGGACAAGCGAATAGTTCTCTTCATCTCAATGATCACCACTGTTACAACCAAGCTGGGAGGGATAAGTAACATAATCTCGTCCTACTCCCAAGTTTGGTATAACAAGAGTTTGACTTTTTGAAAAGGCTGCGCTTTCAAATTCAATGTAAATGTACCTTAAAGAACACACCAGACAGATGTCCTTGAGCTAATCAGAATTAAGAAGTTAGTTTTTTTGAGAACTCTCTCAGCAAAAGATAAACCGATCAAAAAGATATCACAAAAACAGTTCTGTGACCCATACACAAACTAGCATGCAAACACACTAAATAATTTATTGGGGAAGAAGAAACGTTTGTACCTCTTCAATAAAGAAGTTATTTATTGAACTGGTGATTCTTTTGGAAACAGTTATGTGGCAGATTTCCACATTTTTCAAACGATTTTGGTTCACAGTTGGTTTTCTCTCAGGGGGAGTTGCCTTTTTCCAAAATTGCGAACCACTTCCAAAGAGAGAGAGAGAGAGAGAGAGGCTCCTTCTTATTCATGTTACTGAATGTCTTATTTGTAGCCAAAACCCCAAACTTATAATCTTGGTTTCTCACTAATGGAGGTGGGGAGTTGCGGAGGGGTGGTGTGAGGGTGGACAAGGTGGGTGGGGGTGTGGGGAGATGGTTGGGCGATGTTGCGCAGTGGAATTCTGATGTCTCAAACCTGGCTGTTGGCCACAATGGGAATAATCCATTGTTCCAAAGAGTTTTGACAATCCATTGTCAGAGCATCCCTGTAATCCTTCAATATAGTTAGGGAGAACATAGAACAATAAAGCACAGGAACGGGCCCTTTGGCACTTGATGTTGTGCTGAACATGACATCAAATTAAACTAATCCTTTCTGTCTTCTTATGGTCCATATCCCTCCAATCAATCCTTCTCTTCAAATTTATGTCTTTGTTCCAACAATACAACAACCACTGTCTGTGTGGAGTTTGCACATTCTCCCCGTGTCTGCATGGGTTTCCTCCGGGTGCTCTGGTTTCCTCCCACAGTCCAAAGATGTGCAGGCTAGGTGGATTGGCCATGCTAAATTGCCCATGTTCAGGGCTGTGTAGATTAGGTGGGTTATAGGGGATGGGGGTTGGGTGGGATGTCTGAGGGCCGGTGTGGACTTGTTGGACCGAGGGGCCTGTTTCCACACTGTAGGGATTCTATGAATATTTATAGTAGAGAAGTCTCATTCCCAGAGATATTTGAGGGTTTCATTACTGACTATCCATTCTAAAGTTGGATTTTAATACCCAGGTAATTGCCCCTCTAATAGCCGTTCAGGGTATAGCAGATAGTGTCAGCTGTGTTACTTAGACATTCCTTTATATATTCCTGAGAGCTCGGCTTCTTTTAGGTCAGGTGACTTTGGCAATTGTTGAAGTGACCCAGCTTGGTTTAATTGTTTTTGTCTCAAACCAAATCCCAAAGGTTTTACAGAAAAATAGGAATTGCTGGAGAAATTCAGCAGGTCTGGCAGCATCTGTGGGGAGAAAGCAGACTTAACGTTTCGGGTACAATGACTCTTCTTCAGAACTGATAGCGGCTGGGAAAGAAGTTGTATTTATGCTGAAGATGGGGTTGGGAGTGTGGTTGGGTGAAGAAGTGAGCGGATAGGTGGAGATGGCCAGAGAGACAGAGAGATGCAATCACAGAAGGTGTAACACCTGCCCATTTACCTCCTCCCTCGTTATCATCCAAGGCCCCAGACACACCTTCCAGGTGAAGCAGCACTTTACCTGCACTTCACTCAATGCAGTTTACTGTATTTGTTGCTCAGAATGTGGTCTCCTCTATACTGGGGAGATGAAATGCAGACTGGGTGACTGCTTTGCAGAACACCTACATTCTGTCTGCAAAAATGACCTCGCACTTCCAATTGCCTGTCACTTAAACACACCACTGTGTTCCCACGCCAACATCATAGTCACAGGCCTGTCGCAGTGCTCCGGCGAGCCTCAGCACAAACTCGAAGAACAACATCACATTTTCCACTTGGGGACCGTGCAGCTTCTAGAACACATCAAGTTCAATAACTCTAGAGCCTGATTCTATCCTTCTATGATTTTACTCACACTCACACCTAGCCCTTTATGACATGTATTGCTTTCAGCAAAGTCTACCCATTCTCTCCTGTTTTTTTGCTCTAATTATCACTTTATTCAGCTTAGTTCCTGTCCCAGCTTCCTATCAATAATCCTCTCATTTACCTACCCCTTTCATATTTCTCTCACTCTGTCTGCGTCCTGTCTCCACCTCTCTGCTCACCTCTCCCCCCATTCCCCCCCCAACCCCGTCCTCAGCCTAAATACTATTTTTCCTATCTGCTATCAGTTCTGATGAAGACTCACTGGACTCAAAACATTAACTCTGCTTTGTCCACACAGATGCTGCCAGATTTGCTGAGTTTCTCTAACAATTTCTGTTTTTTTTTGTTTCAGATTTCAGCATCCGCAATTCTTTGTTTGATTCCAAAAATTTTAAGGTAGTCAACGAGATTTTATGAATTCACGGTATTTATATAATCTTGGCACTATATCCTTCTTTTCCTTTCTCCTGCGTTTGGCTTGCTTTCAAATCCCTTTATATAATTTGCTTATTGAAGCGAGTTCTACATTCTGCCTGCTCTCTGCGTAAGAAGTTCCCCTTGAACTGTACATGACCACATCCAGAGTACTGTTAGCAGTTTTGGTTCTCTTATTGAAGGAAGGATATAACTTCATTGGAGGCAGTTCAGAGAAGATTCACCAGAATGATCCCTGGAATGGAGGGATTGTGTTATAAACAAAGGTGATCTCATTGAAACAGTGTAAATGCTGAGAGGATGTTCCCTCTTATGGGACAGTCTAGGATCAGACACACAATATCAGAATAAAGTGGTACCAATTTAAGACTGAGATGAGGAGGAATTTTCTCTGTCAGTGGGTTGTGAGTCTTTGGAACTCCTTGCCACAGAGAACTGTGGGTCAGAGTCCTTGTGTATATTTAAGGCTGAGATAGATAGATTCTTGATCAGTCAGGGAATCACGGGCTACGGGGAAAGGGCAAGAAAGTGGACATGAGGAATATTGGATCAGCCCTTATCCTGAATGATGAAGTGGGCTTGAGGGTGGAATGGCCTATTCCTGTTCCTATTTCTTATGGTCTTATATTCTACTAGTTTCATTGGACATTATTTTACGTTAATGAAACCCTAGTTTAAAGTCCCCTACAAGGTGGAAATATCTTGTCTACAGCTGTAAGTCCTTTAAAATTTAAAGAAGTTTTGTAATGTGAATCTTCACCAAGATTTACAACTGATGAAGCCACAGAGTCACTGTTCTCTGTGCCATCAAGTAAGCCAAATAGTACCAGATTTCTCCAATGCCAGTTTCTTTGTCATTTTACATCTCTGTGGCAGCAACTTGCATTTGAATGTCACTTTGTAAAGTATTAAAACATCCCAAGGCTTTGCCAAACAAATTTCACATTGAACCTCACAAAGGTCTATTGGGACAGATGTCTAATGATTTGCTCAAGAGGTTAATTTCAAGGAGGATAGGTGAAGAAATTTAGGGAGGGAATTCACAGCCTAGTGCCTAATCAGCCTTATGACATGGCTGCCGATATGAGAATGATTAAAATTACACATAAAGTATAGATTTGGAGGAACACAGAGATTTCAAAGGCTTGTTGAGATGGAGGAGGATACAGAGATAGAGAAGAATGACGTTAGGGTTTTCCCAGATGGATGAGAGAAGTTAAATATTTTTTTTAACCACCAGTGGTCACTGTGTGTACAGTGTTAGTCATACTTATATTTAAGGGATGAAGAGTTAATATAAAATGATTTTGCAATTACTGGGTGAATGAAGTCTCAATTTCAGTTATTGGTGTAAATCTGCCCAATCTTTGTGGGAGAAGTTGACTGACAGAGACAATTCCATTTTATGATCCCAAGACTTATCCCAATAAATGCTTTATTGATTTAGGGAACAATCTAAGGGACCTTGGGAGTCAACAGCTAAGTCATACAAAGTAGTTCAGAACTGAAGGACAGTCACACTGAACTTGAAACATTTGCTTCTCTCTGCAGAAGCTGCCAGACCTGCTAATTTTCTTCAGCACTTCCTCTTTATTGCAGTGTTCAGATGGTCTGGCAACGCTTGCAAGTCACTTGTTATGTAGTGTTGTAGGAAATAGTGCAGTTGATTTGCATGCAGCAAGTTCACACAAACCCTAATGTGGTAATGACCAGATATTTTGTTTCTCTGTCACATTAATTCAGGGATAAATATTAGCTAGGAGAAAATCCCAATCTTTTTGTAGGATCTTTAAATCTATCTGATGTAGCCATGATTTAAATTCTCAGCACTTCTCTCAGCACCACTGTTCCTTAGCATTCCACTGGGAGTGTCATCCTGGATTTTCTCATGACCTTTTGATTCAAAGGTGAGAGTGGCACGGCTGGCCAGATACTTGCATTTCCTTATTTGAGAGAATCTGCTCTATTCGGGAACTCTTTAAGGTTGGCATTGCTATTCCTGCAAAGGAGAAACTTCATTATATTACAGGAAAGACAAACAAAAACATTATTGAGTTATTTAATATCAATAATTAGATGTTTCCTGATTTACTTACCACATGGAATTTGCTGCCTGTGAGAATGGTTTCAGAAGGAAAGTTGTTGGGTCATAATGACTCTCCAATTTAAATCACAAAGAGGTTATTTTCATATCATATGAAACTAGTCTTTCTTCTGATATTGTGATGTTTGAAAGCTTATTATTTCCTCTTTTTTTTAATTCCAGGAATGGCTCATCAACAAGACTGGAATCACAGTGTTTGGAATGAAGCTGCCTACTGGATTCCAGCTAATTGGGCAAGTGGTAAGATTGACAATATATTCTCCCAGACATTAATGGTTAAACCAGGGATTGTTGACACTACTATATTTATGATTAAATGTACAACCCCTTACCGTGAGATTATGCGCTCTGGGTCTGGACTCTCCCATAAGGGGAAACAACCTCTCCACATCTACCCTGTCAGGTCCCCTAGAAATCATGTAAGTTTCAATAAGGTTGCCTTTCATTCTTCTAAACTATGATGACTATGAGTCCAAACTACACTCCATAAGCCATTCCCTCCATAGATTTCTGCAGTCCTATAATCCTCTGAGGATCTCTGTGTTTTTCTGATTCTAACCTTTTGTGTGTCTCTGCTTTCCTTTGCTGCACCAGTCGGGGCTGTGTCTTCAGCTGCTTAACGAGCAGAATTCTCTCCTCAGAATGCTCTCTGTCTCTCTACCTCTCTCTTACTTCATGATGTCAGGCTTACATAGAAATTTCAGCACAGAAACAGGACACGCAGTCTGACTGGTCTATGCCTGTGTTTTTACCCCATGCAAGCTTCCTTCTGTACCCCTCTTTATGTCACTCTGTCAGAATATCCTTCTATTCCTTTCTTCTCATGTTTATCCAAATTCCCCTTAAATGTGTCACACACAAACTCATAATTACGAAAACTAGGGTTACTGGATGAGTAACTTGTCAGTAGAGATTTTCCAGGTGGTGATTTGCATTTCTCTGCTTCTAACACTTTTATTTGTTGATAGGATCTCTCTGAATACAAGAAGTGGCTGGCATGCTACTCTTCAAAGCAACATGGTTTTGCTGCCAAATCAATCACCTGTCGTTCCTACGCAAGGTTAATATTGCTCATACACCACTCTGATGGAATAGAATACTATGTAACCTGAAAGGTTTCAACCTCAACAAAAGATTTCCTTTCTTGTTAATGACTGATTGAGAAGTTGGTGGTTGGTGGTGAGCAATTTTCTGGACATACTGTGGTCAAGCAGTGAGGTCCTCCAGTGTTCTATTAGGGTAAGGAATTCCAGGAGGCTCGGGGCTGGTGGGAAATGTGTGTGACATGGATCAAGTACATCCCATAAATTAGACATGGATAACTTTACTTTATCAACCTGTAGCACCATTAAATACAGATTGATTGTTCAGAGTTTCAGTCATTCTTCTCAAACACACTATTTTCTTCTAAACAGATAATAAATGACTGATTCTGAAAGCTGGAGGGAAAAAAAAGCCTTAAAAACTGCACTGAATAGATCGGAGAGAAGGATTACTGGCTGTAATCTGATAGAGAGGCTTAAATGATGTTTACACTTCCTGATAATGAGACACGTGTCCTATTTCTTTAATATAACACAGTGTGGAGCTGGAGGAACACAACAAGCCAGGCGGTATCAGAGGAGCAGGAAAGTTGACATTTCGGGTCGGGACCCTTCTTCAGAAATGGGGGAGGGGCAGGGGGCTCTGAAATAAATAGAGAGAGGGGGTGTGGGGGTGGGGAAGGTAGGTGGGATGGTGATAAGTAATGGTTTTTTACCTGTCTTTTGTCACTACAGTACCTGTTGACTGCTAGTGTGGTGACCATTGTTCTGTTGCTGATTTGTACTAACTTTGATGTTACAGAAGGAATGATTTGCAGCATCACTTAAACATGCTGCAGATAATGTGGAAAAAACATATGTTCAGGGATCTCAGTGAATTTATTTTAATCTATTTGGAAAATTAATGGAACGTTATCATTTATTGCAAGGGGAATTGAATTAAAAAAGGAAGATTCCACTTAAATTATACAGCATGTTGGTGGGACCACATCTAGAGTACTGTTCACAGTATTGGTTTCCATATTTAAGGAAGGATGTAAATATATTGAGTACTCGACTTAAGTTGATAGTTTTTGCAGGTCCAAGGAAGTGCCATATTGCTGGAGGCATTTTATTTAAATTCTCTCGGGATGTGAGCATTAATAGCAAAGGCAGCATTTGTTGTCAATCCCCAATTGCCGTTGAGAAAGTGGTAGTGAACAGTCTTCTTGAACCATTGCAGTCAATCTGGTACATCCAAAGTGCTGCTAGGGAGGGATTTCCAGGAGTTTGACTCAGCAATGATTCGGGAGTGGCACTATAGTTTCGTTTTGGGACTTGGATGGGAACTAGCAGATCATGAGTTTCCATCTGGCTGCTCTTGTACTTTCTGCTGGTGAAGGTAAACAGTTGCCCTTCCTGCCCTCAGGTAGATGTAAAACATCTCATGGCATTACTTTGAAGAATAAAAGGGAGAGTATTAATGCTCTGCTGAAAAGCAAAGTGGCCATTGTTCACATTGCTGTTTGTGGGAGTTTGCAGTGTGAAAATTAGCTGCCACTTCTTCCAGTACTACAAAAATGACTAAAGTTGAAAATGTGCTTTGTAAAACACTTCAGAATTTCCTGAGGATATGAATGGAACTATACAATTACACGTCTTTCCCTTTATTTATTGCAGTATAATTTATCAGATTTCGCTGTGCATGATTGGCTGTGACCTGTTTCTATAGAAGGGATTGTCATTGAAAAGTCTGGTACCAGCTATGAAGTACTTTGAGACGTCCTAAAGTCATGAAAAGTTATATACATGCACCATTTTTTGATGAAATCGCTTAGTTTTGTCACAGGATCTTATCATTAGGAATTCAAAATACTTCACACGGTTCAATAGATTTTTTAAACTTCATTGATTTGGGTAAAAAACACAAAAATCTCACTTGCATTGGGCTCTAAATTTGCTTTTGTTTTATCCTGGAATGGTTTGTTGGAATGAGAATAGTTTTGGAATGGGTTTTCCTGGATATCAAGGATTCAGTGGAAATTTGTTGAACCATTGCACTGACACTCACTTGTGTTTAGGATTGGAATTATGGGAAATCCATCAGATGGCTTCTACGGGAAAACCATTGCCATGACGATATCTAATTTCTGGGCTGATGCAATGATATGCGAAAGCAAAAAAGTCGTAAGTCCTATGCATGATTGAGCAAGATAACTAGTAAATAGAATGCACAATGACCAATGGAAGTTGTTTCCTCAATTCATTTACAAATAAATTAACTTTGCTATTAATTGTCCAAACTCCAAATTCAAAACAACATGACAACAGCACAAGAGATAAAAACCAAAAGAACTGCAGATGTTGTAAATCAGGAACAAAACAAAGTTGCTGGAAAAGCTCAGCAGGTTTGGTGGCATCTGTGAAGGAAAAAACAGAGTAAATGTTTCGGGTCTGATGAGGAAGTTCTGAGGAAGGGTCACCGGACCCAAAACGTTAACTCTGTTTTCTCCTTCACAGATGCTGCCAGAACTGCTGAGCTTTTCCAGCAACTTTGTTTTTGTTGCACAAGAGATAAGCCAGACCAGTCAATGCTGAGGTCTCAGACACAGCCCCAACACAATTTTATGTATTTTACAATGTTAAGCAGTTAGATTTAAAAACTTTATGATATGCATGCCCTCCTGCTGGATTCAAAGATGTTTATGTATTCATCTTTTAGGTATCATGTGTTTAATAGGCCCATGAAACAGAGAGCAAAATGTTACAAATTTGTTCCTTTTACAGTGTGTGTGCACATTGAGTACTATGAGTATTAACTGTGTGCAATATATTTTCTTGAAGCTAACAAATTTATATTGTAATTTTTGTGAGAATAAAATTTCTTTGCTAAGGCCTCAAGTCTTGGAAATTTTACAATGAAGTGATCCTCCAAAACAGAATGGAGCCATTCAGCCAGCTTCCAACAGCTCCCTTCTATTCCTTTCCTATCTCTCGGAAATGCTGTTAAATATATATGTTAACAATATTTGTCCATTTTTAAATTCTGCTTCTGCCCTTGTTCCTGTTAGACCATTCTGCATCCAAAGACTCTTAACTTCAAAAGACAGACCAAGCTATTTTCAGGACTTCTTATTTAAGGTTTTTTGGGGTGATGATTTAAATATTGTGCCCTTTAATTACCAACTGATTTCCTCTATCAAAACCCATCATAATTTTGAGCATCTTCACATTATCTCTTAATATTCTTAATGTTCTACAAAATGATCTATCATTCCACATCTCTCCTCTTATCCCTGGTAACGTTTAGTGAGATTTTTGTCTGATCTCCATGGCCTTTTCCTTATCTAAGGTGCCAAAACTGGATACACTAATCAAACTGAATTCTAGCCAATGATTTATGCAGGTATGGTATTATATCTTTGCTTTTAACTCTTTAACTCTTAATACCCCAGGGGAGGAACAGAGAACAGGGAGCAGTAAAATCTACCAGATTCCATTCATGATTGCTATCCACTGGATTACAACTACTTTCTGCATTAATTTCAGTCACTACTCTTGAAAAATTCCAACTGACATACTTTGGCACATCCTAAGTTTGTGAAGGGCACTATATAAATGCAAGTATTGCTAGTTAGAACATGTGTGTGTTTTGTGTTATATACTTAATGATTCTGGCTGCATTGACAGTCAAGTAGTCCACCTGAGGTTAATCTCAATCAGGGTTCACACATAAATGATAGTCACTTGGATTGCAGAGAGTTGATTCTGCCCTTGGATTGGTTTCTCTGCACCTTCAGGGATGAAATTCATAGCTAAGGAACATATTTTTCTGAGGACAGTTGAGAATTTCCCACCAAATGTCTTCAAGTTCTTCTTCTAATGTTGCTTTCTGCTTTTGAATTCCCCCAGGTGCTAATACCGCATCCTCTCAATGATCCAACAGAGTTTGGCAGCTTGCAAGATTTGCACAGGATCAGTAGGAAGGAAGGGTTTGTACCTGTCATTTCTGTAAGCACGTTTCAATGCAGTCAATTCTCTCACCCGTAGTAACAAAGTTTGCAAAGTAACATTTCTGGTTAAGCGTACACTTGCATAGCTTTGACTTGCCTCCCCTGGTTCTTTTGCCAATAAGGTTTTTTTTAGTGCAACATGTTGTTATGATTTGCAATGCACAACTTTCAAAATGAAATAGTTTAAATACCTCATGGGGAAAACAGTTTTAGGGCTAGGGGAAGGAGCAAAGAGCTTAAGACCATAAGAACTAGAAACAGGAGTAAGCCATTCAGCCCCTTGAGTCTGCTCTGCCATGACTGTAAGGGAAGATAGAGCAGAAACCCTCCTAACATTTCAAAAATATTTAAATATACATTTAAGATGTGAACGCATACAACGCTATGGGCTAAGTGCTGGAAAATTAAACTAGAATAGTTAGCTGGCTGATTTTGACTGGCATTGAAGCTATGATCTTAAGGACCTTTACTATGCTGTAGATCTCTACAGCTCTATTCTAACACGTGTTTTTTAAAAGTGTGTGCAGTAATTAATAAACCCACTCTCTTGGTGAATTCAAGAAAGCCCATTAAATTGGTTCCTTGTAAAACATAAATTCATTTGGATCTGGGAAAAAGGTATTCATCAGGGAAGAAGTCCTTTGAAAACTAACTTTTTTTTTATCAGTTCACTGGATTTAGGAATTGCTGACTAAGCCAGCGTTTGTTGCCCATCCCTAGTTGCCCCCAGTGAGAAGATGATGGTGAGCTGACTACTGGAATTGCTGCAGTTTATTTTCTGTAGGCCTACTCACAATGCCATTAGGGAGGGAATTCCAGGATTTTGACCCAGTGACACTGAAGCAACAGTGATATATTTCCAAGTTTGGAATATGAGTGGGTTGGAGGGGAACTTGCAGGTGGTCGTGTTCCCATGTATCTGCTGCCTGTGTCCTTCCAGATGGTAGTGAGAATAGATTTTAAAAGTGCTGCTAAGGGGTCTCGGCGAGTTCCTGCAGAGCATCTTGTAGATCGTTCACACTGCTGCTACTGAGCATCGATGGTGGAGGGAGTGGATGCTTGTGGATGTGGCACCAATAAAGCAGGCTGCTTTGTCCTGGATGGTGTTGAGTCTCTTGAGTTTCATTGGAGCTGCACCTATCCAGGCAATTGAGTGGTATCCCATCACATTCCTGACTTATGCCTTGTAGATGTTGGACAGGCTTTGGGGAATCAGGAGGTGAGTTACTCACCAAAGTATTCCTAGCCTCTGACCTGCTTTTGTAGCATAGGAGTTGTTGCAATCAACTGAGTAAATGGATGAGTAAAGGAAAAGGAGACCAGTTCATCCATCCTTACCTAGAGGCTTAACAATTTGGGGTATTCTGCCTAGAAGTGTAATGGATTAGGGGACTCGCCCATAGTCTGGTCATAACAACCCTCTTGTATAATAAGATGATGAGCCAGTCAGGATTTCTCTGTGAACATTTCAGAGGATGTTTGCAAATGGTTTTGAATTGATTTTTAATGGTTTCTTCATCTATGGACCAGAATTGAACTCTGGATTGGGGTAAATCATTGTGAGGGAAGGGCTGACTAGATTCAGGCAGGGATGGGAAACAAAATTACCATGGGGCTAGTGTTAAATTGAGGCTGTTTTGCAGGTATCTGGGTGGTCTGAGACTGCTTCAAGCAACTTGTAAGAAATTCTACCAATACTGCTCTGAACAAGGGTAAGAGAAATTTGAGGTTTTGTGAATTTGTCATTTTAGGCAATGGATCACTAACCCTAATGCTTTTCACAACAATGAGATTTTAAACCAATATGCCAGCTTCCCCCTCAGGCTGGTGTAAATGATCCCAGGGCTACTTACTTAAAGGTCAGCAAGGAAATTCTCCCCTATGACTGGCCAATATTTATTCCGCAGCCGACATTGCTAAAGTAAATTATCTGGTGCGTTGTTGGACCCTGCTGAATTCCTAATTGGCTGTTGCATTTCATCCAGCAGTTACTATAGTTCAGACATAACTCAATATCTTTAAAGTCCTTTGGAACACCCTGAAATAATGAAAGACAAACTGTAAATGCAAATTCTTTCTTTCTAAGTTATTTCCATGAAGTGGAGGTGCCGATGTTGGACTGGGGTGGACAAAATCAGAAGCCACACGACACCAGGTTATAGTCCAACAGGTTTATTTGAAATCATAAGCTTTTGGAGTGTAGCCCCAAAAGCTTCACCTGACGAAGGGGTTACGTTCTGAAAGCTTGTGATTTCAAATAAACTTGTTGGAGTATAACCTGGTATTCTGTAACTTCTGACTAAGTCATTTCCATGTTGCTCAAAAAAGTGTTTACTTTTTCTAAAGAAGTAAACTTCTAGTGATTATGATGAATCATTTCAATTCCGTAATTCAACTAAATCCGTTATTGAACTTGTGTTCCAATTTGCAGAATCGCTTTGGCCAAACGGAACTTTACTCTGAAATACGACACTAATGTACCACGGCAGGTGGTAGGTATATTCCTGAACAGATTCAGATTTCCTTATACTTGTTGAAACAATGGCACATCAAGAAATGATGAAATATTTGGGTCAAAGTGCAACTTAGCTATATTCAAGGGTGACTATAGACATGCATCTGAATGGCAAATGTAATTGAAGGATATGCTGATAGAGTGAGATGGTTTTCTGTAAAGTGTAAGTAAATATCAGCAAGGTCTTTTGAGATAAATCCCTATTTTTGATCTGTGTGTTATATCTAATTCTGAGTTCGTATTACATTTAGACTTGGTTGGAATGAGCATCTACACACAAAGCACCTTCTCTGTGGCTGTAGCACAGTATTCTGTGCTCTATTCTGCTACCTTGATGCACTTTGTATGGTATAATCTGCCTGTTGAACTTGCAAAACAACTCTTTTCACTGTATTTCGGTACATGTGTGACAACAGTAAATCAATCAATCAGTCATTCAATCAAAGCAAACATTTCAAGTTAGTGCTTCTATCCCCTCCCCTGCTGTGACCCTGACTTATTTTCCTAGATCAAGGAAGACTCTTGGGGCTAAAATCTGGTGCTACTTCAAAGTTGTGTTGTGCAGGTTATATGTCAACTCTATGGGGCAGACTCCATTGCAGAACATTAATCTGTGCAGCCCATGCAGTTTCCTCATTCATAAAAGCAATCCAAAACACTGCCTGTATCTCAGCAACAGTGAGGAATTACAATCTGCATCTAGATGGAACATTTGGCATAGTAAAAAACCCCAATTTGACCTCATAAACAGATGTTACACTAGATGCCAAAAAAATCTTGTAAGAAGTCGTATCACATTTGTGCCAGTGCAGCACCTTCAATCTAAAAATGTATCCTCATATTTAAATCCCTTCATGGTTTCACCTTCCTAATTCTGTAACCTTCTCTGATTTTACAACCTGCAACTTTCAAATGATTTGTATTGTTTTGCATATCTCCCCTCACTCCCTTTACCCCATCATTGGGAACCACGTCTCTTGCTGCCTAGTTTCTGTGATGAGGAATTGCCTACTGAAACACCTCTGCTATTTTTTTCATACTTAAAGGACTGAGGTCTTGGCCATCCCTCCTAGTATTCTCTTCTTTCATGTTCAATTATTGTTGAGTATGTTTCTCTAAGTGGCTGAGGTACGCCATTAATTAAGTCTCATAAATCCAAGTTGCTGTTTTATTGCCAGTGTGGAGTTTAGTGGGAAGGACATGCAACTTATGTGGTACAGTGGCTAGAACTGGAGTAAATGAATCTTACAGAGACAAGCATCCATATCAAATGAATGATCCCAACTTCTGTGGCTCAAAATATCAAACCAGCTGGGGGGATCATGTTGAGAGTATTTTTAGTACAGCTTTGGGATGCATCTTATCTCACTTTCTCTATGATTGTCTTTCTGCAGGGCCTTGCTGGAAGCAGGTTAGTGTTAAAGAGTTAAGCAAATACACTGGCTTATCCATTTCTTTAAACAAATGTTGTATATTGTCTAAGCCCTTAGACTAACCATTCTTGGACTAACCACAAATTCTTCCTCTTGGTTAGTTTGTGTAAATACCTTAGAGCACACTGTGCTGCTGTTGGATCTTCTGATTGTACCTATTGCAGCTGAATGGTAGGAGTGACATTGTTACTAAGATTCTAATAAAATGTATACTTCAAAGCAACTACATATTAAATTAAAGCAAAGAACTGCAGATGTTGGAAATCTGAAATGAAAATAAAAATTTCTGGAGAAACTTGCCAGTTTCAAATTGGGGTCACTCAACCTGAAACATTAATTCTGCTTTTTCTCCATAGATTTGGGCGGTATGGTGGTTCAGTGGTTAGCACTGCTGCCTCACAGCACCAGCGACCCAGGTTCGATTCCATCCTCAGGCAACTGTCTGTGTGGAGTCTCCCTATGTTTGCGTGGGTTTGCTCCAGTTTCCTCCCACTTTCGAAAGATGTGCAGACTAGGTGGATTGGCCATGCTAAATTACCCATAGTGTTCAGGGATGTGTAGATTAGGTGGGTTACAGGGCGATGGTTCTGAGTGGGATGCTCTCAGAGTCAGTGTGGACTTGTTGGACTGAAGAGCCTGTTTCCACACTGCTGGGATTCTCTAGATGCTACCAGACCTGCTGAGTTTCTCCAGTAATTTCTGTTTTTGCATCACAAATCAATGCTGGAATTGTCTTCCATGCTTGGCTGCACTTTCTTTTCCACTCTTTACTTCTTTCCCATATTTTACATTTTGAATTTATAATTCCTTTTATATCTTCATAGGATTACATAAATTTACATCACAGGAGCTGGCCATTCACTTCAAAGTTGGTCCATATGCTTCATTTCAGCTTTATTCTATCCTACCTTGAGCCCTACCATTATATTCTTGAATTGCAGAATCCCTACAGTGTGGAAGCAGGCCATTTAGCCTATTGAGTCCATACTGACCCTCCAAAGAGCATCCTATCCAGACCTATTCCCCCTCCACCCCACCCTATCCCTGCATTTTCCATGGTTAATCCACCTAGCCTGCATACTGTCAGCAATTTAGCATGGCCAATCCACCTAACCTCTTTGGACTGTGGAGGGAAACCAGAGCATCCGGATGAAACCCACGCAGAACGTGCAAACTCCACACAGACAGTCACCCGAGGCTGGAATTGAACCCAGGTCCCTGGCGCCGTGAGGCAGCAGTGCTAACCACTGAGCCACTGCACTGCCCCTTCTGCTCTTTCATTCTCCAAATGCTTATCTAGTTTTCCCATAAATGCATCTTTGCTCTTCACCGCAATTACTCCCTGAGTTCCACAGTCTAACTTACGTTGAATGTGTTACTGGACATATTAATGAGTATTTTATGTTGACGGTCCATAGTTTTGAAATGCAGAAACATCTCTATTCTACCCTATCAATTTTCATGAACTTAAAGACCTCAATTAGGTTACCTCTCAGCGTTTGCTTTCCAAGAGAAAAGAGCCCATATTCTTCCTGTTAGGTATAATGGTTTGAGAGGAATTTTAAGGCTGGAAGAATTTAAACCCCACAATTGCAAGGATATAACTATTTGAACACAGTTTGGGAAGTGGAGCTAGGATGGATCAGTGAAGATGTGATGCTAACAACTGGGAGCAATTTTGCAACTTAGCATTTTGCCTGAGTGTGACAAAATTAAAGATTTGATCCCTAGGAGAGAGTCAAACACAAGGCTTTGTTGTGTTGAGCATTTTGCCTGATGTGCTCAGGAAAGGAGATTTTGGACAGGTCAACCAGGTCACTTGGAAAGTTTGAAGTTAACTACATGTGATATGGTTCAAACATTCCTCCTGTCAGATTAAATCAAGGTTATTATTGACTACATCTCACATTCCTTTCCAGCTGAGAAAAGTACATTGAATGTGGTGGGGGAGCATGGTTGGAAAACAGTGAAAATAAAAACACTGCTTAAATACTTTTAAGCAGTTTTCTTTCTGAAATGTTGATTTATGGTTTCATATGTGATATCAGCAACACTCAACTGAGGCCATCTATGTCATAACTTGTAACTTGGTAATTCTTTCATGATAAGCAGAAAAGTTAAGAATAAATGTTATGTTGATCTTTACGCAAAGCAACCAAATTATAATGAAACAGATACAAACCTTTATTAAAAGCTAGGTGAAGTGGCACCATCATCATGTGGCTCCGTCCACCCACAGTAATCCTGTCATTACTTGAATTTGAGCTCAAAAGTTCTTAGAATCAAAAAACATTGGGACTTATTTGAAAAGCAGCAGTTACCTTTGAAATACTTCTTTTCTGCCACATAATTTTGACTTTCATCTGGTATTCCTGGTAAAGTTGGTCATAATTAACAGAACTTTATTTTCAAAATTTAAATTCTTATTTGTTTTCCTTTTCTGTCAGGGATATATCCGTCACCAGTGTATCTTGCCTCTGCTTCTAAGTTACAATCAATCCTGTTTTGTGTCAGTCAACTAGTATGATCCTCTCCTGTTCACAGCCATTCTAACATACTTATATTCATCTATTTCCCCATAAATAACTTTATTCCTCTTGGTTTCCTTTTCTAAGAGATTGTGAGAGCTATGATAATGGATACAAGCTTATCTTTAATTAGCACACATCATATGGTGTGCATCTACCATGGTTCAATTGGTAGGAGTACTCCTCTGGGTAAGAAAGTTGTGGGTTTCACTCCCATTCCAGAAAACTGATTAAAAATTCGAGATACCTACTCCACTACAGTCAGGTCAGAGTTGACAAATTTCAGGTATGACTTTAAACTGTGTCCTGTCTGAAAGATCCCTGATTTTGAAGAAGTACAGGGAAGTTTTCTCCCAGGACCCAGCCAATATTTATTCCTGAACTAAAATTGCACCTTAAAAATCTGGCATTTACCGCACTGTTGTAACACTTGGCTGTATCCAATGTTGCAATTCTTGAAAGTATATCATAGGATGTCTCAAAAAGCACCAAGTCATTCTTTTATACAAACTTCTTTTTCTCTGGTCTCACGTGTTCAACCAAAGATGCAATATTTCGTTGTCTGCTCTGAACTGATTTTTGTTTTCAGTGGCCCAACACTCAGGAATCCATTACGTTTGTCCTATAATATATTTAAAAGGATTTGCTGTCACTTAGCTTACCTTCTCTCCTAGAATGTCTTGTGTCTTGCACTTTCACCTAAGTTTCTAAATGTTAAAAACACATCACATTATGTTCAGTTCACATCTGTTGCAAAACTTCCATGTTCTGACTATATTGCTGGAATCATGACAGTCTCAATTTCACTTTTTTTTACAGTGCTATTGTGTCAGCTACACTTAAATGCTTGATGAAGTTTTATGATTTAATTGATGATGTGAGTAATCCTGTGCTGACCTTTACTTTTATCTTCAATAGTTTTATAACATGATAATAGAAGGCATTTAGAGTAATTTTGTGAACTTTTCTCTTCCTTTTGCTAATATTCTCATCTTCCCATCTCACTTGAAAGTATTGACTCCTTGTTGGGGCAATTAAAGATTTTAAAACTGGGTTTTGTATATCACGGTTAGGTAAGGGTACCATGAGTTACAGAACCAAGGAGCTAGATGGAGTTACAATATAGGCAAGACATGATTTAGTTGAACATATAAATATGTGAATAAAACAAAGAACTATGGATGTTGGAGATCTGAAATAAACATAAAGCAGAAATTGCTGGAGAAACTTAGCAAGTCTGGCAGCATCTGTGAAGAGAAAGTAGAGTCAACGTTTTGAGTCCAGTGACCCTTCTGCAGAAAGGTTTCCCTCAGCATGAGGACAAATTGCCTACCTGCACAACTGGCCATGCTAAGCTAATGAATGCTGAGAGTATATATCAAGCATTTGTACACACAATTAACAGTTTTCTTCCTGCTTGAATAGACAGAATATTATGGGCTATGCTGACAGTACCAGGTTGAAAATATACCTTTCAGCTCCCCAGGCACCAAAAGCCTTTTCGCCACTGAGCCTGTGTTGAATTTGTATTCTAGGCACTAGATTACTGCACCATACCGTCACTTAACAAAATGTCTTTTTAATGTACATTGAAGCAACAAGGGAAACAAAGCACATATTGTCAGAAATGTCTTAATAGAATAAAGATATAACAGTCCTCTCTTTTTCAATCTTTTAAACTAACTTAGTTTCTTTGACAGGATTTGCCAAAGCCACTCAGGGCAAACTTCATTCTGAATGTAGAGACCGAAGAGTTAATTATTACAGCAGGACTTCAGGATCGGGTGGTCCAGGTATATTTCAAATAGAATCATTTGTAGGGAATTAAATTTGAATGATACAAGAGGCATCCTGATTGGGATTCCTCAACTCTAGTCAGAAGTTTGTGTGATAGAATGAATGGACAATAGGTAGTACTAAACCTGGCTGATTAAACAACAGTAAAACTAGTGCAAATACCAGAAGTTAAGAATATGTCTGAAGTATGTAATTATAGCATAATTTTAATATAATGGCATCTTCAGCATAAACACCTGCTAACCGGAAAATAGCCTTATCACAAAGTTACAGGCTGGCACAAATCATATATATTATCAATTTGTTTTTCAAATTGGATGTGACTAGATTGAAAAAGTCTGTTCATTCTGTAGTTTGAGAAGATCTGCTATGTGCTGGCACTCCAGTGCAACTCTGAGAAAGTTCTGCCTTTTAGACACGCTGAGAATAAATTTTAAATTTTAGCCACACTTACCTGATCTGGTTTGGAGAATACATTAAAGATTCTACTGCACCATTCAAAATAGAGGCTGCTCACTCACTTTCTTGGCTTACCTCAATGATGCCTAGCAATAGTGAACTACTGTACTGTTGTAAAAAAACTCAAGTGGTTCACTCTTACCGTTTAGGGAAGGAAATCTGGTCTCTTCACTTGATCTGGTCTATATATGAACAGAGTGATTGTTCCTAATGCTAAAATAGTGGATAAAATGACTGCTGGTGCATCCATAGATGGGGCAGCTGATGGCAGCTCACTGTGACAGGCTTCAGTATATGTTTGTGCATGTGCAGACTGGGTTATATTTAAAATTAACATGGATTAATTTTTAAAAGAATTGCTTTGGCCTCTTCCTCCTGTGCACCCTCCTGGGTCCTCAAGTCAATTCAGTTCAGGGCAGGGGAGTAGATGGTGGAACTGGTTGGCGCCTTGTTCTTCTCAGCAGTGCCCTATTTTTTTATTCACTCGTGGGATGTGGATGTTACTGGATGGATTTATTGCCCATCCCTGGCTGTTCTTGCACTGAGTGACTTGCTGAGCCATTTCAGAGGACACTTGAGAGTCAACCATATTGCTGTGTGTCTGGAGTCACATTGCAGGCCAGATCAGGCAAGGATGGCACATTTCATTCTAGAGGACATCAGTGAGCCAGATGGGTTTTTAAAGAATCAATTGGGCAGCACAGTGGCAAGCACTGTTGCCTCACAGCATCAGGGACCCAGGTTCTGTTCCAGCCTCGCTGACTGTCTCTGTGGAGTTTGCACGTTCTCCCTGTGTTTGTGTGAATTTCCGCCAGTGCTCTGGTTTCTTCCCAAGGTCCAAAGATGTATAGGGTAGGTGGATTAGACATGGTTAATGCAGTGTTATGGGGACAGGGTGGATCTCGGATGCTCTTTGGAAGATCCGTGCAGACTTGATGGGCCAAATGGCCTCTATCTGCACTGCTGTGATTTGTAGTTATCAGCAGATTCTTAATTCCAGATTTTGTTTTCTTATTGAATTCAAATTCCACCATCTGCTGTGATGGGATTCAAACCTAGCTCCCCTGGTGTGAATACCAGTAGGCCACCACCTCCCCAGTTTGGGAAATATTTGGGAGAAGTGACTGCTGCTCTGTCACTGGGCAATGACATCACACCATCATGCTGTGTTTCACAATAAATATGGCCATAAGTGAAATCAAACCGCTGCCCACCCCCCCCCCCCCCCACCCCCCCGCAACCTCCCCGTACCAATATCCTCTGAAATGGCCTAGCCAGCCACTTATTAACCAAGAAGACAACTTATCTCTGCCTTCTAAAAGACTGATTAATAATCGGCAATAAAGACTGGCTTTGTCTCCCTCTTGTGAAGGATATTTTTAAGGACAAATGAATTTATAATTTATCTTACCATTGAGTGTGGAATCTTGCTGAATGCAAAGTAGCTGCTATATGTGATCACAGTCACTGTGGCAAAAGTAGTATTTGGATATGTTAAAGTACTTGCAGAAATGTTGGTTTATGTTACAGTGACAAGGAATGTAACAGATTGAATGTATTATTTAAAATGCGTCTGTCACATTGGTAAGTAGTGAATTTTCTTTCTTAATTTAGGTTTACGAGGGACTGGTTTACATGGATTTCAACAAGGAGTTGATGGAGAAACAAGATTATGGTGAGGGAACAGTTTGAAAATTGTGTATTTGTCTGTGTGCCTTCATAGAATCTGTAAACTCACCCCTTTGGGCTAGAATCATCTTTGACTTGTCATTGGTATGAAAATTTAGCCCATGAGGGAGACAGGAAAAAAAGGATACTTTGAGTGGGTTGATTGAAAAAAGTGTGGGAGAAAGCTAACATGCAACATAAATATCAGCCTGGGCTCACTCAGCCAAATAGCCTGTTTCTGTGCTGCTACTATAACAGGTGCATGTGTAAAAGCAGAAAGAACTTCAAAGGAAATAGCAAATGGACTGCAGCAGGTCAAGAAGCAGCTCATCACCATCTTCTCAAGGGGAACTAGGGATGGACAGTAAATACTAGTCCAGACAACGATGCCCAGGTCTCACGAGTAAATCAAAAAACTCATGTTTAGGATCAGGTCACTGCAGTGGTGAGCACTGCTGCTTCACAGTGCTAGAGACCCAGGTTCTATTTCACCTTCGGGTGATTGTCTGTGTGGAGCTTGCCTGATCTCCCTGTGTCTGCGTGGGTTTCCTCCGGGTGCTCAGGTTTCCTTCCACAGTCCAACGATGTGCAGGCTAGGTGGATTGGCCGTGCTAAATTGCCCATAGTGTCCAGGGATATGCAAGCGAATTGGATTATGGGAAATGCAGAGTTACAGGGATAGGTGGGTCTGGTTGGGATGCTCCCGGATGGTCTGTGTGGACTCAGTGGGCTGAATGGCCTGCTCCCACACTGTCAGGATTTTATGAAAATATGAAGCTGCCATAAGACTGTTCTTTTATCCAGCAATGATGAGGGAACAAATAAGATCTTTCCAAGTCAGGAATGCTGTATGACAGAGGGGAACTTGGATGTGACACATAATTATTAGTTTGCACCTGCCCTTAGTCTTCTAATCGCAGGTCTGATGAGCTATATGTCCATGTTGCTTAATATATTTTATTTTCTCTTTTGTATTTTAGGAAGATATGTTACCATGGATATAAGCTGTGCGCCACATTTCTGGCTTGCTTATATGGGAGATCCAAGTGATTCTGGGAAGATCCACAGTAATGTGCGACAGAGATGGCTCAATGGTTCGTTATTTGCTTTGTTAGATACAAACATGATAAAGGGGCCCTGTTGTGGCACAGTGGTAATGTCCCTACCCCAGACCCTGAGATCTGGGTTCAAGTCCCATCTGCTCCAGAGGTGTGTTAACATCTCTCAGCAGGTTGGTTAGGAAAATGAGTTTTGGAAAAAAAAAACAAACACAACACAACACTATCAAATAGACCGTGACCTTAATTCCACCAGGAAATAAGGAAGTGAATATGATATCAGGGTGGGTATGTAATTCCAGCTTACACTTACTTTTGTTCAATGCAGCTGCTAATGCTACATCTCAGACATTAGCTATTTATTCTTATGAGCGATTGTATACATGGAGTGTTACCTGTAGCAATTTCATTTAAGTGAAAAGATATTCCAGCTAAATATTGTGCTTCTGGAAGGAACAATACCAGCTGAGTACCAGATGTGTACATTCAAGTAAAATTTAGATGTCCATGTCATAAAAACATATGAGAAAGGACAGGGAATAATCTGCTGGTTGACTGACTACATGCTGTCCTGGCTTGACATAACTTCCGCTTATCATCATATCAACTAGTGGTCCTTGGGCAAATTACTGGCAAAGGAGGCTTTGTATTCACATAGCACCTTTCACAGCCTCAGGACATCCTGAAGTGCTTTTAACCAATGGTATATGCTTGAAATGTAGCAGTGGAGGAAATGGAAGAGAAGAAACTTTGGGACAATTTAAAGAAATCTCTGGAAAGAAAATCTGACCCCCAAAGGAAAACATTGGAAGCCCATGGTGACAGGGTTAAACAAGTTGCCAATGTACTTTTTATAGAAGATACCTTCGATATATAGAGATGTTTGTCACTTGAAGGACTATGTTTTGCTCCCATCTGAATGCTTGCAGTGAATCTACATTCATATCCAAAGTAGAACACTCTTGTGGCACAATGGTGGTGTCCCTACTTCTGATTCAGGAGGCCTGGGTTTGAGTCCCACCTGCTTGAGAGGTGTGCCACATCATCTCTGAACAGGTTGATTAAAAAATATCCACATGAAATGCAAACCTTTTTGACCTACTTTAATAGATTTAGTACAGAAGTCAGTTCCTTATATTAAATGACTGTTTTCCTCAGGGACTGTACCACACTCCTGCTCTAAGTTTGGTTGAAGTGTGCAGGAAATCCCTGGTGTTTTATTTCACCCTCTGTGATTTTGATATTTGAGTTTCAGTTCTGTTTTACTGGGGCTGTTAATGTGCACGAGATTTGTTTGAGTTCCAGCTGAGGTCCTTCACCCTTCTATTTGCATACCCTCCTGCAAAGAGAATTTGCTTTTCACAGAAAATGCTGGAGAAACTGCAGGTCTGAAAAATCTGTGGGGAGAGAAACAGAGCTAACCTTTCCAGTCTGATATGACTTCTTCAGAAGTCTACTTATTGCTGTCCATATCCGTGTCTGTTATCGCATTTAGTCATAGCCATAGTCAAGGAATATGGGAGCATCGACCCTCATTTATTCAGAAGTAAATTTAATCTACCTGTTTCAGTGCTGAAGGGTAAATTGGATCAGTGTCGTAATTGGTGACATCTTTAACATTGTTTTTGCTAAAGAATTGGAATTTATAGTAGTTTTCTTGTAATTTTCAGGTGACTGTGATGTTATGGCAGCAATGAAAACCTTTGCAGAACTCACTGATCTAGCGAAGTAAGTGACCATTAAGAGCTCTTGCATAATTCTAGTGAATTATCTGTGGAAATTTTATACATCGTAGTTTGTTGTGGTTAACTTAAATGACTTTGGGGAGAATTTTCTTCCATGAACTATAAATGGTAAGAGAGGAAGAAACCAGCAGTTTCTAGAGAAACTTTTCAACCCTCTAATTGATAAGATTAAAGGCAAAATAGACCATCTTGTGCTTTTTATTTGTGCATGATATTTAGAGAGGAACTATCTTCAATTGATCTTATTATCGTTTTAAGTTTAGACCAGTACTGCAAAATTAAATAATTCAATAATATTAGCACTGTAATGACCCGCTATAATATGTGTGCAGTCACACACAAATCTACAAACTATTGACAAAAAAAAAGCATTCTATTCAAATTTAAACCTCTTCAGAAAAAAAAATCATGCGCTGATGAAATTGGCTTAACACTGAGGCAAAGGCTAGCAGGTCAACAGTATAGACATACATATAAACCTATGAATTAGGAACAGAAGTAGGCCATTCAGCCCCTCAATCCTGCTCTGGCATTCAATATCATGACTGATCTGATTACTCCAAATTCCTGAGTTGCCCTATAATCCTTTATCTCATTGCTTGTCTACAGCAGTACAGCAACATGAGATGACAGTTCACTTTCTGTAGGATTGACAATAAGGATGGTGCTGTTTTTGACTTGGGACAGGAAATTTGCATGCTTACTGGGTAATGCCAAGGAGAATGCATCTCTTCTTGTAGAAAAATATCTGGTAGTGCAGCACATCTATAGCTTCATTGGCCAGTTTCTGATACAATGAAATAGTCTGAAAGGGCAGAAGGAGCAAGTGAGACAAAAGAGAGCAAGAGAGAGAAAGAGATAAATTGTCAACCATGGAGATTGCCATTCCTACTGGAACTTTGTCTAACATGTGGACAAGATACTTCAAAATTAATTACAGCAAACCTTTTATTAACCAGCACCTATGGGACCAGGAGTGTGCCAGTTGATCGAATATTCTGGATAATCACGAGGTACAGATAACTGCTGTAAACCCTGACCAAGCAAAGTTTTGAGACCTTAAAAAAACTATGTAAAAACATCAACACACCTCCTACAATCAGTGTAAAAACACACAGAAGTAACAGAAGCATATTGCAGGGGTGCACATCATTCATTGTTATACTTTACTTACAGCATAAATACTCAGACATCACGGTAGATTGTAGTATTTGAAATATATAATTTTTCCCAGTTTTATCAAGACTGCCAGTTGATAACGTGACAGTTAAAATTAATTTTGCTGTACTGCCAAAGTATACATGCATTTCTCAAAGAGTTGACATTAAAACAGTTTGGATTAATATATTGCCTTTAATGTAGAAAAAATATTCCAGGCTCTTTACTGATTTATCCCACTTTATCTTTCCATATTTTTCCTATATCTGTTCTTGTACCTCCATTGCCTTTCAAACTTTTTATGCATCTCTTCTTGCACATCTTTTGGAGCTATATGAAACCCTTTAAACATCCCCACCTCTCATCTCCTGTCTCTATCTTTAAAAACATTCTCTCTTCCTTTACTTGCTGTTTCTTTTGTAGCTATTGCTATTCCCCACCTTCACTTCCGTAAAGTTCGCTTCTGCATGAAAGATAGCAGCTAATGCACGGTGCTGAATCTACCCCATTCCCATTTTAAAAAGCAAAAGAACTGTAGATGCTGTAAATCAGGAACAGAAACAGAAGTTCCTGGAAAAGCTCTGTGCATCTGCGAAGAAAAAATCAGAGTTAATGTTTCGGGTCTGAACAGATGCTGCCAGATCTGCTGAGCTTTTCCAGCAATTTCTGTTTTTGTTCCATTCCCATTTACTTGACGTAGTTGGAAATGATTTCTCCCTTCAGCTTTGACATTACAGTTTTCTGACAGAGCTGAAAAATGAATTTATAACCTATAGAAACCCTGAATTAATAAGTTTATAGAAAAGGCATGCCTCTCTCAGTCAAAAGGATCCTTTTTCTCCTTTGCATAGGACAGCCATGGAGTCTCGGAATTGGAATGAACTTTCTGAGCTGATGAACAAAAATTTCGAACTACGCAGGTAAGATGTTGTGCTTTTTTTAAAAAGAAGCGAAGAACTGCAGATACTGGAAATCAGAAACAAAAACTAAAATTGCTGGAAAATCTCAGCAGGTCTGACAACATCTGTGAACAGAAAGCAGACTTAACATTTTTGGTCCAGTGACCCTTCTTCAGTTCTGAGAGAAAAAAAATTCCTCCTCATTTCAGCCTTAAATTGACACCTCTTTATGCTGAGACTATGAATCAAGTCTGAGACTTCCATAACACAAGGAACATCCCTTAGTTTGCATTGCTATGATACCTAAGAGATTGAGCAAAGTGTAGAGATCCTGTAGGGTATCTTCATAGAATCTTTATAGTGTGGAAACAGACCCTTCGGCCCAGCAAGTCCACCCCAACCCTCAGAGCATCCCACCCAACCCACCTAATCTACACATCCCTGAACACTATGGGCAATTTAGCATGGCCAATCCACCTAACCTGCACATCTTTGGACTGTGGAAGGAAACCCACACAGACAAAGGGAGAATGTGCAAACTCCACATAGACAGTCACCCGAAGGTGGAATCAAACCCAGGTTCCTGGTGCTGTGATGCAGCAGTGCTAACCACTGGGCCACCCTGCTGCCCCAAACAAAGGCTGACACAATCAGCAAGCACTCATCTTTATCATGGTTACATACTCACAGCTCCTAAGAGAAGAAGTTGCTGATCTGCTGTCTCATTTTTGGCAGCTGCTTGTGAACACCAGGTGATCTGTCCATGGACTTGAAGGGAAAACAGTCAGGAAAATCATTTTTGGACCACACACACGTGAAACCTGGTACAATACTGTTCACTATCATTGACAGGACCTACTGGGCAGTTTAATTAGCTCTTTGGAGAAGGAAGAGAAACCAATAAAATGCTGAATATTTTGGGGAGGGAATATCTGTTCCATCATTAATTTTGATTGGGAAACAAAATAATTGATTAAATAATAAGTGATTAAATAATAAGAGTTACATTTTCTATGTGTCTGTATTAAATGCTTTCTGTTGTTACAGGTCCATATACACAGATGCTTGTTTGGGCCAAGGAAATTTGAGGATGGTGGAACTTGGCAGACAGGTTTCTTCAAAACAGTTTCATTTTTTGGCTAATTAAATCTATAATTTGCATTAAGTGTATAATAATAAATTTTGGTGTAAAAAGCATTTAAATGAAGTACATTATCAATTGCATGACAACCAACAATATATTCACAAATGCATTATATCCAATTGAAATTAAAGGCTTAACTGTCAAGTCGTGGCACATTTCCCATACATTTTGGTTAATTGTAATTTAATATTTCAAAAATGATGGTACAGGCAGTCCCCAATTTAGGAATGTCCAACTTACATACACTCGTACTTATGATCAAGATCCCATATTAACAATAGTTTTAAAGATCTGACATACGAATGTTTGCTCATACTTATGAATGGCTGTTTTGTACTGCACTGTATTGTATTCTGAATTGTGTAAAAATGGACTTATGACTGTACTCAGGAATGGAATCCATCTGTTTAAGGCAAACTAAAGGAGATGGATATTGAAATGTGATAGAATAATTAAGAATGGAAAACCTGCTTAATACATTGTGACTCGTCGCATAAATTACTGTAACTTTGCTTTCTGGTGATTTGGTGAACAGCAATGAACTATTGTTTTAGAATGGTTAACAACAAATGAAGTACAAGTCGCCTCTACCAAAATTGATTCCAATATGACACTGTACCAATCAAAGTTTTAAGAACACCAGGATTTCTGATTAAAATTTTAAGCTGCAAAATTTACTTTTGATTTCATTAACCAAATTACTACTTTTTGTTAAGTTAATAGTCTTAACTTTGCATACTGCACTCGTAAAATTTACTGTTTGGTCCAGTAAATACAGAAAGAAAATCCTCTACTGTCTATCTGTTACTTTTGGCAGTTTGGCTCTGCAGTAAAGCTTCCTGGCAGTGGAGGAGCAGTGATTGGTCTCTGCCTAGATCCTGACAACTTGGTAGGTTGAAATAATTCTTTCTGCATTAAAGTAGATCAGTTGCAGGAGTTATGAGTTAAAAACAAAATCAACCAAAGTTCTTACAGAGATAGTAGGAACTGCCGATGCTGGAGAATCTGAGATAACAAGATGTAGAGCTGGCTGAACACAGCAGGCCGAGGAGCAGGAAAGCTGACGTTTCGGGTCTAGACCCTTCTTC